TTATTTATTTATTTATTTATTTATTTATTTATTTGTTGTACTTTTTTTTTTTCAGGACAGGGTTTCTCTGTAGCTTTAAAGCCTGTCCTGGAACTAGTTCTTGTAGGCCAGGCTGGCCTCAAACTCACAGAGATCCACCTGCCTCCGCTTCACAAGTGCTGGGATTAAAGGCATACAACACCACCACCCAGCCAATAAAAAAAAAAGTTAATATCCTGTACTACCAAGTTCCATAGCTACATCCATGTGAATATTTGTTATGTTTCATCATATAATGACAGACTATTAGATGTCTACTGTCCCAAGTACTCTAAGTATAGAAATGAACGAGATGTGATTCCTGCCCTCAAGGAGCTCACAATCTACTAAGAAAGAAACAACCACTGGCATACTACAGTATGATCTCATCTGGAATAGAGGTAGATGGGTCCTACAGAAGTGAAAATACTAACCTTGCCTGTGTGTGCACTCATGCAAATATGGAGTGTTTATTAGAAAGGCTTCCCAGAGACACTCATGTTTTAATTGAACTTTGAGGGTTCTAGTAACACTCAGTGAGGCAAAAGGGGTGCTTTTGCACAACCCAAATCCACTCTCCTGAACAGTACCAATTCCCCAAATCCACTCTCCTGAACAGTACCAATTCCCCAAAGCCACTCTCCTGAACAGTACCAATTCCCCAAATCCACTCTCCTGAACAGTACCAGTTCCCCTACATTGCCACCTTAATGTATGCAATAGCAGGCTCTGGCAATGTTATGCTCATCATAAAATACAAAGAACAAGCAAGTGGAAACACTAATAGAATAATATTTACATGTACCCATTACTACTAATCCTAACAAAAAAATATCTCTCAAGTTTGTTTTCTCCTCTCCCACGTCACTACTTATGAGCTCCCAGAAGGAAACACCCTACTGATCAAGCCTCCCTCCAGTGCATCCTTTCCACTGTTATCTTACAAATGGGAAAATCTGCTCATGGTTCTCTTTTCCTAAAAATGACTTTTTTCCCTATTGCCTACAACTTCATTTCTTACACCCAATAGTAAGAGGTTATAACCTGGCCATATTTAATATATTCATACTATTACTTAGTATTTGTCTTTAAACCAACTTAAGACTAGTGTATTTTGTATTTTTATTAAATCCTACGTAACCTTAGGTTTGATGAATAATAGTTTGTTTGTTTTTTTTTTTTTATCAGATACACCCAACTATGCAACTAATGAAACTTGAACTGTGAGTGGAAGCACAATGTAACTACCGCTGGTCCATGCTCGGTATTTTGAGTCAGTGGGCCTGTGGGAACACATTCATATTTCTTAGTATTGCAGTTGACTCTCCAAAAAGCACTCTCAAAATTCTGCAGCATACTTTGCTTGCACCTTCCTTGTCTCAGTCTCAGGACCCTGCTAGGATGAACTGCTCACATTAGAAAAAGCCACGCCCACTCTACCATAAACACATCTCTTACAGACTGATTCCTATATCTCCAATGGCTCCTCTCTACCTTTCTTTGCCTGCCAAATTCATTACCCTTCAAGAATTATTTATCATGGCACCTCCTCACAAAATTCCCAGCTCGCTCTCTCTTTCTCTGGTTAGCCACTCTTTCCTCTATCCTACCACAATGCTGCACCTGTTTCTGTTCTCCCACAATTTTTTACTCTATGGTATCTCAGAATTGTGGTCCCCTGGACCCAGTGAGGGTTCAGGACCTTGTATTTTCTTGCATCTTCTACACTTAATGTGTGCTCAGGTCACAAAGGACATCTAGTATCCTGGCTCCCCTTTGAAAAAGCTGAAATAAAATAAAATGCAAAGAACTGTCTAGAGTTGAATGGCTTAGAGGTAGGACATAGCTTTCGTACAGAATCATCTAATTTAGAAAATGATATATTGACTATAATTTTGGCAGACATAATCAACTATGGTTATAACAGCAGTTAAGCAAATTTGGTATTGGCAACTATTTTACAGCAAAAACACTGATACAGAAATGCAAAATGACTCATTTGGGTTTCTTCCAGGATGGCCAATTGTACCTTACAGTAATCTTCCCTTGCCACAACTGGAAAATCAAGAACAAAAATGCACATCAGGACTTGGAAGCCACGGGGGGGAAAGAGCATGGGTTTTCAAGTCAGAAGTCTGGACACTGAAACTCTCTACCTCAATTACCTCCAATCTATGGGCTTAAAATTTGCATTTTAGTTTCTTCTTCTAGAGAAAAAAATGGAAAAAAATGTACACACTTTATAAGACACTCAGATAATGTAATAAAGGGCTTATGGTGACGCCTGGGATATTATGTGAGCTCAATAAAGAGTCATTACTATTATCTAATCAGAAGATTGCAATCCGGATAATCTGCTGTACAAGAACAGCAGACTCATCTCTTAAGAAAATGTTTATGGCACTTTGCTTTCTAATTGACAAGTACAGGCTGTGGCTAAGAATAGTCATAAACAAAACATCTGCAAGACAAAAGTTTCTCCTTTTAGTTACATTGAAGTCACACCTGGAACATACCACCACACTTCTTTGTGTTCTCCGAGAATTGACCTCAAATCAGGTTCCCCTAGGATGAAAAGGAAAATCACCCAGTCTTAATTTTTCAATCTTAATTTTATTCAATACAGAATAAAATTCAAACTCTGTACATCCTTCACCCTCTCATGTTACTACAACCCCAAAAACTATCTCCTGATATATCCCTGCTGATAGCTCCTATATAATCACATGTGCCCCTGTCATACAGTCCCCCCTTTTCTATGCCTTCTTCTTAGTTGCCAACCCCCATATTAGAAAGCATCTTTCCACCTTTGCTCATTTCAAATTTCCTTTATTCCATGGGAGCCCAAATTACAGGTGACCTCCTCCACAAAGCTTACTAGGACTGATCTAAAAGAAGGGTAAATGTCAAGACTCCAACAAGTTCTGAGTTAGGCTCTAACTTTCACAAATCAGCCTCTCCCTCCTATCTATATGCCTTTCCACTAAGCCCTGAGCACTTTTTGCACGCATTTGTAATATGTAATAATTAATGCAGTGTTTCACAGCCTACTGTGTTTGTAGACAATGAGCCCATGAAATGTTTAGCAACACTGGTGCTAACTAGTCTTCGTTGGAAGCTTTTAAAATGCTCCACGTTTTTTAATAGGTCCAATTGCCCTTCTACTCTCACGAGAACACTGGACTGAAACTTAATTATACATTCATCAAAAGTAAGGTTCTTTCCTTTTGCTCCCTATCCCTTCTGGAAATTGAACACATTTTCTACTCCAATGACTGGTTGAAGAGGACCAGTAAGAGAGATAGGTCGATTTTTTAAAAATCTCATCATCGGGAAGCTGAAACGGACAGAAAATCAAGCTTTAGGTATAGCAAGGAATTTCCACGCGCGCTAGGGGGAGAGAGAGGGAGGGACGGAGGGACGGAGGGA